ATGAGCAGCAAATTGTTTCATCCTGGAAGAGAGATATCACAGAACCTGGTGAGTGACATTGGCATCCCTCAGTACAAATGTGCAACGCTTTCTCCAGCTGGTATTTTCATATCTGGTGGTTTTATTTAAAAAAAGAAAAAAATACTAAACCTTTGTTTGATTTTCCTGTTCTTTTCTGAACTTTGATCAAACAATCCCACAGTTTGGCAAACTGGCTTATGAGGTACTAGAAGGATGAAAAGTAAACTTTCCAGCTTGTCTAAACGGATCATGAAAACAGAACATTTCAATAGCTGTTCATTTGCTTTCTTGTTTGCTACCAGAAAATTCATGGCTGTTACAAGAAATATTTATTCGTAGGGAGCTTGTTTTATGTTATTTCACCTATCCCCTGTCCATTAAATCAAATGGATGTAATTCACCGTTGGAGTCTGCAGAGTCTTGCCCCAGCACGCGGTGATATAAAGCTGGGGGGGGGGGTGAGTGCTCCGCCTGAAAGAGCCACAGGAAAAGATGGTTGGAAATGCTCTCCTCATCACAAATATGTGTCTTCAATATTTAGTTGTTGTGGCAGGAAAACGCCAACAAATACATGAACTGTAAACCATCTGGCTTGAAATATGTTCAAATATGAATGTTCATCTTGAAAAATGAAATCTATGGAATTCTGGCATCCACTTTGACTTTTGAGAGATGAACAGCTTGGATATGCAAAGAAGGGATTTCTAGACTAGCCTTCTTAAACTTTAAATTTTCCTGAACTTAGAAGTTAAATGATTCACTGCCTAAAAAGGAAAACTTCCCTTTCACTTTTAAACTTTAATGAAAACCACTGACTGCTTGGAAATCCCTTCAACTCTCTCTATGTAGGGATTTGTATGGAATTGTCTGTGTCAAGAAGCAGAGAAATGAAAGTGGTTCTGTATTTATTATTTAACATTTACAGAGTTCCAATGTATGCTAGACACAATATAAAACATTTAAAGAGCATGATAATCCTGGCTTTTGCCAAATTTCTAAATCAAAAAGTTAAAACTGGCAATACAGGAGATTTTGAACTGTGTCACTTAGTTTTGGGTAAGAAAGGATGAATTAGTCACTCTGTTCTCTTATGTGCTGGGATCCTCAGGTATCAGTGCCCTGCAAATAGCATCTCCAAATGACTGCAGGAAGGGTTTTAGAGGACTTAACCCTTTGAACTGGCTTGCTTTTTTCTCGATTCCTTTATTCTACTCAGGATTTAATTTTTTAAATACCCCAGATTTTACAAAGCACAGCAGTAGAATAAAAACTGGAGTTTCTTTTCATATAAACTTATTTATTTGGATTTGTTTATATTTCAAATGATTGATACATTCAAAGAGTATTTTTAATCTCTATAATTTTGCTAACCATGTCTAGTCATACTCAACATCCGAGTGCAAAGGGTTAAATGGAAAGAAGAAATGTGTTGCAAATGTAAGTGAGCAATGAAAAAGATGAAGTGAGAAGACTGAAACACGCAAACAAAGCTCATAAGTTCTGGATTTAGCAGACAAGGCCAGGAGTAGCCACAAGAAGAAGATTGGGGGCAGGGGTATTTTTTCCTTGCTGTTTGATGTTTCTGGAACGTTAAAATGATTCTTTGAGAGACTCCGAAATTCAAACTTATTTTCCTCCTTCTCTTCTTCACACTATATAGTTTTTGACAAAATCCAGCTTAATCCACCTCCTCTGAAGAATTCATTCTCCCCACAGTAAGTCCCTCACCTGGATCTCTCCATGCTACAGGAGTATCGGGTATGCCCTCATCTTTAAATAATTATTTAGTTGTTGCACACGTACCTGTCACCACCCAACTGCACCATCATAAGCTTCTAAATATAGAAGCCAAACTTCTAATTCCTGGTGTGCCCAGGATTGTGTAATGCATGCAATGGCCTCAAAGTCATCACCGGAGATTGTAAGACTGGCATGAATGAATGAATCATGCCACAGGTGGAGGGAAAAGGCTTAACTGGGTAATGTTAACTAAGTTTGTGACACAAGCCATTTTAAAATGATGTTAAGAGGACAAAATGTTTCCTGAAATAAAAACACTATATACTTAATTCAGCAAAAGCTAGGATATTGGTGATAAATTTAATTAAATCTTTCTTAAAAATCAGATATATTTTAATGCATAGACTTCCATAACTTTTTTCTTTTTTTCTGCTTTTACTTTAAAAAATGAAATTTATTCAACATATAATTTATCCAATATAATTGTATAATTATCACAATAAATTCTCCTCAAAATAGCCATGTAAAGATTTGGGGTTATATGTGTTTTTATATGTGTATATATACTGGGTTTTTTCTTTCTTTTTTTCATCCATTTTTACTTTAATACTAAGATGTTTATAAATACTTTTAAGACAAATGAGAAACAAATCACATTTTAGAAATAAGGATGGAACATGTAAAGATTAATTTTTAAACCTAAGCCTTTATATTTGATTTTTACTGTAGCATTAGAAATATTCTAAGCATTTAACAGAAAAAGGGACCATACATTATTTTTCAGCAATAAATATCTCTCATTTGTAACACTGTATGAAGAGTACAGAAGGCTAGAAAACGTCAACTCGTCCTCACACTCACTGAATCTAAAATAGAAGAGATAGTCTAAAATTCAAGATGTATTCTCTCTGAATTAATTTTTATAACCCAGCTGAATAAGGCCTCTAAGATATGTAAATCCTAAACACTTCAGAAATAACAAATCATTTCATTGTGGAAGATTATTGGCTTAAAGAAATGAATACAAAGACTTTACATCTTTATATTGCTCACGGTGAAAGAAGCTACCAAAGATATTTTACTAACTACACTCTAATCTCAGGTTAATGCTGCCAAAATACCTGTGCTTTTGTACATTTCTAGAGGGGAAAATTCCTAAAAAATAATGTCTTTTTCTAAGAAGAAGCAAATGCACTAAATATTTTACTGTCCAATCTTAGACTTCTCTAGAAGAGGCATCATCTTGCTTCAGTGTGAGTGTGTATTCATGTGTTTATGACTCTGTGTGTGTGTGTGTGTGTGTGTGTGTGTGTGTGTGTGTGTGTGTGTGTGTGTCAGGAGAACTGGAGGTGGAGGAGAAACGGGCCTGACTCTGTGAGGCAGGAATTATGATTAGTCCCATTTAACAAATGTGCAATATGAGACTCAAAAGAGGTAACTCAGAGTCAAGGGTGGGTGGCAAGTCTGAAGCTCATCTGTTCATCGAAATGCTTCCCCAGGGTTGTCAGAAGGCCGAGGAGCAAGGGGAAAGCACCGGCCAGAGCCTTTATTGTGGCTTTCATGGGAAGAAAGTCACAGGGTTTAGGACTGGACAGTTTGAATAATTTTGGCAAGCTCTGGGGTATAGGGGTGGTTGGTCTCCAGTTGCCCAGTACCTGGTCTTAGGTGACTTAGGGCAGGCAGAATGTTGGCTCTTTTAGAGTTTGCTAAGAGAGGTGGTTGGGAGTATGGACTCAAAGTTCTTTGGTTTATATAAGTGCTCACAGTCAAGTTGTTTGCTGTCACTAGGAATCAGCTAACTGCCCTAACTTGGCAGTTCCTCTCCAAGACTGAAAGGCCCAAAGATATCAAAGCATCACAAAATGTAGGGGTAAAAATGTGATTAATTCAATAGGGTAACTTTATTTATCCTTTTTTTTCCTTTTTAAGATAGAGTCTTACTATGTTGCCCAGGCTAGCCTCGAACTCCTGGGCTCAAGGAATCCTCTCGCCTCAGCTCCCATGCAGCTGGGATCACAGGTATGAGCCACTGTGTCTGGCCTACTTTTTTGTAATTCATTAACGTTACGTGGAGATAGTACACTTAATCACTTATAACAACATACTTATTTATAATTAATAAATTAAATTAATTTCTATAACTTAAATATGTCCAATTTGTAAAGATACATTAACAGTTTATATCTGTGCATTGCATGTATTTTGATACACAGATCCATGAAGAAATATTTCATAAAGGAAGTGATATAAAGTAATGGTTAAAAATGAAGATGTTAAAGTCAGAGAGAACTAGACTCAAGTCCCAGCTACTCCTACTGCAAGTTACTGTATTTGAACTTGTTTCTACCTTTCTGTAAGAGGGCTTGTAATATCTACCCAACAGAGTCAATGCATGATTTAGTTGGACAATATCTGAAAAATCCTTAACACAGTACCTAGATAACTATAGGTCAATGAATACTCACAATTCTTATTCTTACCAGGTTTTTTAAATTTTTTAATTCTTTTAGGACAACTGAACAGATCCACCACATGAAAACATAGAAAGCTTAGGCAATTATCCAAATGATTTGAATCTCCTCCTATTTTCATCTTAATTGTCTAAAAATTTTAAATAAAATATTTGGGCCAGAACTAGCCAGAAAATGTCTTCAATTGGGACAATTTTGCCTACCAGAGTGTGGAGTCACAGTCATATTTAACAACTATGGCTTACACAAAAATCAGAGAAGGACCAGGCTACCATGTAAGCATTCCTGGGGTCACTGGGGATGAAAGGATATTCTCCCTTGCCTCATGGGTGTATTAAGTGGGATTAGAAAAAAGAGAGATTTATTCCATCAATCTGACAAAAAAAAAGTTCATTTTTTATAGTCACACTTTTAGATTCATGAGTTTTCTATCTGTGTTATTTTTAGAATCTTTTTTTTTTTCTTCCCCATCTTCTCGAAGACTGTTTAATTCATACTTACTTAGCCCGCACACTATGTCTTCTATAGAGAGCTTTTTTGAAAGTGGGGAAAAGGAAATAAAGAAGTAAAAATAAACAAAGTAGAGAAAGCTTGAGAGCAAGTGCTTTGCTGCCTTTATGCAGCCTTCAGCAGTTACCTTATTTCCCAAATTTACATAAAGACTTATTATCATCTTGACTGCAATCATGTAGAAAATGAATGGGGTATAAAGTACATGAGGACAATTTAATAAAACCAGCTTTCCTTTATTATAAAATCTTTGAAGAAAGGAATCATTAGACAGGGACTTGCCTTGTATTTACCCAGGTCAGGAGGCATGTCAGCTTGGTGATGTGCCTTTGGCAAGAAGTCCTTAATTAGAAATTCCTCGAGAGCTGCTCCCAGTAGGTGCTTCCTAAGACAAAAAGACAAAACAATTTAGTACGGAAGCCCTTACTAAGGACCCAACATCCAGGCTCAGGTGAAAGAAAGGAATAACTTGCTGATAACAAAAGAGAAAAGTGTCATGATGGGGTGCTGGATTTTGCATGAGGGTCTCAGCACCATATTAATAGTAAGTATTATTTTCGTTATTCACCTCTAAATACATAGACTGAATAGTCTTTGATTTTTAGGATAACTCGTATAGGGATGCTAAATAGCCTGAAGTATTACTCTAGTCAAAAGACTAAAACTTGTTAGAAAACATTTGGTTGATATATTTAATTTACCCTTATAGAATCATGCAAAGTTGTTTTCCGATTGAGTTCATTTTTAATTATTTTTAAAGTCAAGTGGTTTCTTTTTGCATAATGTATGAATGTTTCCCTAAATCAAATGAAGTCTTTGAATTAGACTACGAAATTGGAATTTTTCTAGAGTACTCTCTGAGTTGTTTTTAGAGATTTCCTCCTTCTTGACATCATTGTCAAGCAATGTTGATTAAGAAGATTTAATGTCATTAAATTACTTAAAATTGAATCATATGTGTTTAAAATCTTTTTTATAAAGTTAATAATTTCTTACCACTATAATCACTGTTAAAATCTAGTCTATGAGAAATAAATATACAGAGTAATACTGACTAATATTGAGAAGTTCTTCATTTCACTTTAAAAGAAGAACCTCAATGATTTTGAACAGAAGAAAAGGTTGAAGATATTATTGATTGGTTCTCTTTTTGTTCTACTCTAGCTCTCATGGCTGGGAGTGAATTTATATCTGTTTATTGACACATTCTGTTGGTATGAAGAGGAGGAGTCTTTCCATTACACAAGAGCTATTTTGGGTGTAAGTACAGTTGGTGATTAAACATTATTGTTTCAGAAAACAAAATGCACTTTATTTTCCCTGGCATCCTCGTTTTCACTGTATATCTTTTTTGTGTCTTTACCTATGGACAGTCAACACTGGCTTGGGCACGAGCATCTGCACTGTGCTTGAATTTTAACTGCATGCTAATTCTACTACCTATCAGTCGAAACCTTATCTCATTCATTAGAGGATCAAGCATCGTAAGTACTAAAATATTTGAAATAATTTCAGTTGTTGTCACTTCCTAATATAAGTGTCATTGAAAACAAAGATGTACTTTACTATGATATTCCCAGTAATCCTGTTAAAACTTAGGTTTGTTTATTTGTAAGACAGAACAGAATGGCTAAAATATCAGTAATCTGCCCATCTGATTTGACTTGTGCTTCTGCCATTGACTTCTTACATGCACATTGGGACTCACTGGGCAATCCTTTCCTGATGTACTTGCTCCATTGAAGGAAGCATTATAACAGCTTGAACTATTACCATTTTTGATTGAGAGAAGACAAATAAGCAGTTGAGAAAAATGCCACTCAGGAAACATCTAAGTTCTCACCCCCAGAAAGAACAAACACAGTATATAGACTTTAGCATGTAGACTTTAACACCTATATTTCCTAATTATATTGACTTCACCATTGGGGGTACTTTACCTGTGCTTCCAGTTAGATAGAATAAAACATAGAAAATTAGACCTGCATTAACCTTTACCAGATAAAATAATTTATGATATAAGCATACCTCATTTTATTGCTCTTCACTTTATTGTACTTTGAAGATATTTCATTTTTTTCAAATTAAATGTTTGAGGCAACCTTGCATCGAGCAAACCGATTGATGCCATTTGTCCAATAGCATGTTCTTACTCTGTGTTGCCATGACAGTATTTTTTAACAATTTTTTTAAATTAAAGTATGTATTTTTTAGTGTAAACATAACTTTTATATCCACTGGGAAACAAAGAAATTTGTGTGATTCACTTTATTGCAATATTTGCTTTATTGTGGTGGTCTAGAATAGAACCCACAATGTCTCTGAGGTATGCCCACAGAAAATCACCATTGTGACTTTATGAATATTCACATAGATGCACATAGTGCCTTTCTTTGTGTAATAAGGAATAATTTACAGACTCCTTAAACTACATAGATGAGGATAATGGCCATCACCTTTCATTTTCTAAACAAAGAAGCTATGTGAGATGTGGATATTAGCAGGTTTATTTAAGAGTCTTGAGTTATAGCCAGAGAATAACTAATTCAATCATTTTTTAGTTGAAACTTCAGCAAAGCATGTAATAACCCTTTGTTTTGCTAGTTTGACCAGCAGTCACTAACTTTTGTATCACATAGCCTCATTTTAAGCAATTTAGAGGCAAAGCCTGAGTCCTTATCTCTTGACTCTTATAATACTGTTATCATTGTGATTTTCCCCAAATCAGACTTTTGTCGTTGTTGTTGTTACTCTAGTGCTGCAGAGGACCATGGAGGAGGCAATTAGACAAAAACCTCAAATTTCACAAACTGGTTGCCTATGGGATAGCTGTTAATGCAGGTAAGTACTTATTAACTGCTTGATGGATTTTACTATCTCTAATATTTAACTTTATAGTTTTGTGTAACTTCACTGCACCCCAACTCTCACCCTTGGATAAAAGAAACCTTTGCCATTCATCTGGCCATGTAAACTTTATACAAATGAATTGTAGAATTTCCAAAGTATACTCCTAATATATGAGTTTTCCCCTACCCAGAACTCAATTTGTCAAAGAGCAGTTGGTGAAACTTCATTGTCACTTGTGAATAGTTAGGCTTGTTGATAATACAATGATAAATACCTACTTGAAAAATGAACACTTTGTTATTCAATATAATTCACAATGAAAATAAAATTGACCTATGCTCAAAATCTCATTCACAGTCGTAGGGAAATGACTATCACAGGCAGTAAAAAGAAAGAGAAAAAAAAAAAAAACGATCATGTGAACAAGGTTCTGAATAGTATTGAACTAGAGAATATAAAAGGATCTTGAAAAGATATGAAGCTTTATAGGCACACAAAGCGTTATTGTTATTATTATATTTCTAATTCAAGAGGAAGGCACTAGAAATTAGCATCCAAGTTCAAGGTTAAACTCTAGTGGGGAAGAAAGGAACAGAGGCAATGATCAACTGGCTGGTAGTTTTGCTGGAAAACAAAGACATTGAAATAAAAGGCTATCTGAACAATAAAGAGTTATGATTCAGGACTGTTTCTCTCAAACTAATTTAACTATAAAATGTTCTCCTCATTTGTTTTTATCCTCTCATGCATAAAAAATAGCAGAGTAAAAGGAACACTCAAAACAAATGTGAATTTAATTAAGCAACAAGACATGACAGACGGTGCCCAAGTGCCAATTAACACAACTTTGGGTGTGCAGTGAGACACGAGGGGAAGATTGTCCCCATTGATTGTCTTCAATGCCAGATTAAACCAACCCCAGCAATGCTTTGCAAAAGGTCTTTGTGGTTTGTTAAGAAATAAGGGTAAAAAGACATCATGTCCTAGAGAAAACCAGCTAAGGGATGGAAGGCAAAGAACAAGAACACTTCATCTCAGTATTCAAGGGTCCACATAGTGCTGAGTATGCACAAGTGCCAATAACCTTTGATGAATGAGTGAATGCATGAAGAAATAAAGACTTCAGGGAAGCAGATCTCAGCTCAGAAATAGAAATTTTTCTGGACCTTGAAAGGTATCTTAAATAAAAATGAAGATCCCCTAAGAGTACTGGGCTTCCCATTGTGTGCTGGGGTCCAAGCGAAGGCCAGATTGCTCCTTGGTAGGCTCATCAAAGAAGGAGTTCAAAGAATCTCTAGAATTCCTTTAAAATCTTAAGTATGCTTAATTCCTGAGTAACACAGTAAAATGGCAAGAAAATATTACCACCATATAAGAGCTGTAAGGCAGGATTGGACTCTATGAGAAAGTAATAAAGACATTATAGAGAAGGAGAGAAAAACAGAATTAAAACACATCAGAAAAGGAAGCAAAAGATAAAGAAAAATATATGTTATGAAATAGTTTTCTCCTTAAACCCTTGGGTACGTACAATTCCTCATATGTAATCATATGCATTAGTAACGTATACAGAATGTCTCCCATGTGCACGACACCCTGAGAGCAGCTATAACTTTCTGAAACTAGCATGGTCAGTGCTGTTTTAGGAATGGGGTATAATTTAGCACGGGCAGCAGCTGGCTAAAAGCAGATGGCCGAGTTATTTTATACCCCTGCTACTGATTGGCTGTGTGATCTCAGATAAGTTCCTCATGCCCTTTCCTCTGTGGAATTCAAAGAACAGTAATACAATCTATCTGTGTCCATGAGATGTGCAGATTATCGTCAGGACTGGACCTAGTTGGAAATTTGCAGAATGCAAGGTCATGCACTTGGTGCTATTGCAAATAAGATCAAATCCGAGCTCCTCAGAGGGGTCTCCTGCTCCGCACACGTCTCACTCCCACCACACCCTCCTGGCCTTTTCCCCTCGGGCAGCATCAGCTCCTGGGAGTCCCTGCGTGTCCTGTTCCTTTGCCTGAATTGCTACGGGGTGGGACATCACCACATCCAAGACTTATCGCCAGGTCCTCCCCAGCCCGACACAGCCACCTCGCCGACAGGTCTGAAGTCACACTTCCCACCACACAGTGAAATCCCTCAGACTCTGACGGCCTCCAGGACTGAGGCTGTGCCTTGCACATTCTTGGCTTTTCTGGCCCCTGACACAAGAGGTCCTCAACAAATTTGGTCAGACCTGAGGATGAATAGGAGTTGGCCACAGGCAAAGGAGGGCAAAGGAATTCCTAGGAAGGGCACAGGACTCAAGTGCATGAGCCAGGCAGGGAGCCATGAGCAGTCTGGGGTGGACAAAACCGAATGTGGGGAGTGAAGAGATTCAAACGATGCCAGTTGTCCAAGGTAATAAATTCGCATTCAGCTGCAACAAGAGAAAACAGGGTGTTTTTTTCTCCCTCTTTCCCTCACGCAGATCCCTGAAGAGAATCAAGTATTCTTTCCAGCCCCTTTCCTCCCGGACCCCCGCTGCTTTGCCAGGCTCCCAGACATCTCCTGGGGCTCCCCAGGCAGGGTCAGAACTGCATCTGAGAGCAAAGCGCCCTCGTCCCACACCTCCATGGCAACCAGCAGCGCTGCTGTTGTTTCCACTCCAGGCAAAGGCAGGAGAGTGGGAAGAAAGCTCTCTGCTTCTCCCAAACCCTGACAAAGCAATTACTACATTTCACATTACTAAAGAAATGTGGCTGGCAACTGCACTTTTAGAGAAACAAAAATGCTAAGCCCTGGTTTCATAGATATACCTTTGCTTTTCCCATTTTGTCCTTCTGGTGCATTCACTTGGGAGCAGCTGAAAATGTCCCTGCGCTTATTTTATTAGCATCGCCCATTATGCTGCATTTCAAATAGCCGACTGGCTTAATAGAGGTGCGTAACCTTGGAAGAAGCGTATCCACATCCAAGTTTGCATGCCAGCCTCTAATTTCTCATCCGTTCCCCTATAAGTTGCATTGCAGGCTTTAATTGGTCAAATCATTAAAGGATGTAATTAGAGACGGGTGGAAGTAGGCTAGGGAGGAGGAGGGAAGAGACAAAACAATGGTATCTATAATCAAGGACATCATGGAAAATGCAGTGACGGGGACTCTTCTTCTTTCAGTTTCCTGCCTTCTTGCTTGCCTGCCTATGACAAGAGCTGCCAGAGCATTCTTCAACCACTAATAAATCATTTGCAGGGACCTATAAACCCACTGGTATAAAAATCATAGTTTCACAGCCTCTCCATTCTTATAATGTGGATCTTTCTGGATCCCAGGTCCACAGTGGACTTTGAAGACCCTTCCAATTGAGAAGCAGTACTTTGAGCCTGAGCTTCCATCAAAGGGTGCTGTCAATAGTAACCTAGGCAGCTCTCTCAGCAAATTCTGTGGCTTGCATCTGCCAGGTTCTAGGGGTGTAGAATTACCCCCATTGCATCTCCTGGTGAGTTGCTAAAATTAGCTTACAAACATCAATAAACATAACATGCAGGGTGAGAGGAGAGAGCACAGAATAAGAATACTGAGAAAATAAAGATTTGAAGACCTCAGGGTTGAGGATAGCCCCAAAGCACAAACTTTGCAGGTCCCTAACCCTTAGGGAATTTCTAGGGACCAGCTCTGCCTGAGGCACTGTGAGCTCCAGGGAGGCTCCACCCCCAGTCCTGCCTAAAAGAATTTAATGGGATTTACAAATGTGTGGCATGCACAGGGTACCAGAGTCAACGAGTCTTCCTACAGAATCAGACCACAAATTCGAAAGTTTGCGGCCAAATTCTGGCTGCAGAATCAAGCCAGGATTTGTCCCTGGGTCCGTGTTTCTAAAGGCTGCTTAATTAGGAGGTGACTAACTCCAGAATGACTGTTATCACTGAGAGGCAGGCAGAAAGACAGCAAGAACTGACCACACTTCCAAGATTCCCCTCAATTATGCTTCCTTTGATCTCCTGAAAAATAAAATGAAAGGAAGAAAGAAGGAAAAGGAACTTTCTCAGGGCAACTGGCTCTAATTGTAGCCTTTATAATTTTTTTGTTCACTCTTCAATGAAATCTCCTTATTTGAACTCAGAAGTTCACACACCAATTAAATGTGCATGTGCAGTGTTTCCAAAATCGCTGCTCTCTCAGAAGTACTTTGAGGAGAACATAAAATTGTAGAAAGATCCAGTTATAGCCCCTCTAGCCTGGCACAGTTGGGTGGGTTATGGAAACGTGTTTATTGGGCTCCTCCAAGGCCACAGCCTCGTGCACCATAGAAAGTGCACAGAGGACCTGGAAGTACTCACCAGCATAGCAGGTGGCATTGGATTGACCCCAAGACTGAAAAGCCCCATTTAAGCCAGTGTTGATTTGTTGATTTTGAAAACATTACAATAAGTTTCATGTTTGCATTACTTCCATACTGATTTACAAATCCCTTCTGATGATAAATGTTCCCAGTTAACTTCAGAGGAAGACACGGGAGCCAGTCCAGTTACAGGCTGGAAGGAACCTTAGACGCCATGTAGTTTAATCCAATCCAGCCATTTCACAGATGAGAAAACAGAGAGCAAAAGAAGTCACTGAAAGTATCCTCTTTAGTATTCTTTCTGCTACATACTAACACTACATAATCTCGTAACATGAATGACGTTGATGACTAAGAGAGAGAAAAATCAAACCGTATCACTATTTTGTCACATATCTGAAGCAACTGTCACAGTAACATAGACATCATGGCCACTCATATAAAAAAAACCTAAAATGTGTAAAGAAAAAATATATAATTTCTAAAAAAAGAACAAAAACAGTATCTCCCCTGGATTCTATCAAGTCTCAAGAGTCCTAAATTTAGCAGCCAGTATATCTTTAGTTCCTAGCTGAGATCACTGTAAAATTAGGAGCAGGTCTAAGAACAAAATAAAATTGTTAGGCAAACAAAGCAGGGCCTAAGCAGTTTTCTCTCTGAGAATTCCTGAAATAAATAAAATAGTCCACTTTTTATCTTCTACTTTTTGAAAAGAAAACAAAATGGAGGAAGCTAGAGCAAAGGAATATTTAAGACATGAACTTTAAAGCACATGAAAAATACCAGAGAGAACAGTTTTCAACACATACCCTCCGGAGCTACCTCTTGAAAAGCATCTTGGGCTTTCTTATACTACTTCATTAGTTCCTTCAGCTCTGTTATGGGAGACCTGGCAATAAGAACAAATAAATAGTTCAATATCTTTGTTCGCTCAATCAACACACTTAAATTTAGTTTAACGGTGTCAAATTCTCATGTGGAAATCAATCTAATAGAAAACAGATTGTGATCAACAACTCATTACACGGAAGAAGAATGTTATAAAATATAGAATGATACGAACGAGAGTTTACCCTGCATTCTCCTTCTATCACATATGGATTATGCAAAGGTAAACAAGTCATTTAATTTGGTCCGAAGCTCAGTTTCTACTTCTGTAAATTGGGAACAGCTCCACGCCCTGGCCGGAGGGAAGATGAAGGAAAGCCGGAACAGAGGGGTGAGGGCTCAGGGGTGCAGGGTAAAAGGAGCACACATGCCAGCCTCTGACAAGGACCCCGATGTCATGATCAGTCAAAGCCTTAGGAACAGCTGGACTCTAAAGACGCCACGTGAACCACTCAAAGAGTTTTACCGAAGCCCACAGGAGAAACTAGTTTTGAGTCAAGAGTAAGGTGTAACAATCATTGATTAGTAAGAAACAATACAGCTTAAGGCAAAAGATGGGGCATTGCAGTCACACAAGCAGGGTTTTGTCCCCCCTTCCCCATTAATGGACCACAAATTTCTTAACTCTTTGAATACTGGTCAGTACAAAGGGAGTAAGACTAATACCTGAGGATGAAATCAGATGATGCACCTACAGCATTGATAACAGTGCCTGGTGTATAGTAAACATTCACTGTATGTTAGCTATGAGAAGTATTACCTGTTTTTTTAAAGAATTTGAGATAATTATCAGAAAACAGCCATTAGGAATACTGAACGGTTGTTTGTGTTTAATTTAGCAAACAGTTCCCATTTTAGGTAGAGCGTATTGGAAAAGAATGCTGCTAGGTAAGCCTTGCTGGCTTTCTGGATGCTGAGCCTTCATACACATGGCCACATATGTTGACTAAGTTCCCAAGGTGGAAATACACCACTACCTCTTGGGTGCTAACCTCACAGGACCCATAGGAGGCAGCAAACTTCACAGATGCAGAAACACCATCACATGCTTTGCCTTCTTAGGTGTGCCTCAACTAAAAGTATATTTGACTTGATTTTCATCTTAAAGGTTGAAGAAAATTGTGTGTGTAAATATAAATTAATATTCAGCATAGAAAACCCCACTCCAACAAATTTGCATCTATAGATTGATCTCCTATCCCTTTGTTTACCCCTTCTGCCTTTCTGTAATCTCATTGTCACTTAACAAATAATTATTAAATACTAACTAGTGCTAACCAATGTGCTAGGTAATGAGGTTTCAAGATGAATAAAGTCCATCCTTGAGGAGTCAAAGTCCATTGGGGGATGCAGGTATAAATAAATACCTGTAGCGATAATAGAAAACAACTTTGAATTGGGTCATAAAGCATGTATAGAACTTTGCAAGTCAGAAAAGGGAACGATAGAAGGAAATCAGGTGATAGAGCAAAGAGGCTAAATGGAAGATGGCATTCCTAAATAAATCTGCTACTAGGACCAAAGGGACCAAGACGACACCAATATTCTTAGAAGTTTCTGCTGTTCCTTTTCCCCTTTACGTTCTCCTTCATGCCTCAGCCCACAATGTACAGCCATGGGGGATCCAATAACTTGCCCACAACTCATATAGACTGAATGATGTAGTAGCCCTGCTACTCCTATGGGTGCAGGAAAAAAGGATATCAATTGGCAAATGATCTGTACTTTGGGCAATGAATCCTCATTTTATACTTGAATCTGATCCCAATGGTGGGTATCAACTGGCCACCCAGACAGGGGTTCCATTTGCAAGAAAATCGTCTGTAATGTCATTGTGTGGATGCTGTGCCTGCTGGTGTCCCAACAGATTTCACAAGACAGGAAAGAGTAGCCTCACGCACAGACTCCTCAGGCCAGAAGATGCTATGCTCCGGACCTTGTTCTCTTCGTTTAGAATTTAGACATCAGCAATTCCCAGAATTAGAAAGCTCTGTTTACTTCTTGAGAATATCCAGAAGGTATGCTTAGTTCCATAAACACTGGCTTATTTCAATCTACCAGGAATGACACATGCAAATATGTGTCTATGTATGTGTAGGTATATGCACATCTACAGTAGTCCTCCCTTATCTGCGGGGGATACTTCCCAAGACCTCCAGTGGATGCCTGAACCTGTGTGTAGTACTGACCCGACTGCTGTCCCTCAGAGCACAATTCTGCTCATGTCTTCCACCCACAGATTTAATGCCTTTTCCATCGTAACTAAGCACTGATTACACACTGTGGCTATAACTTTTGCAGTTTGAGGTGCGACAGCAAAACTATCACATATTTCTTTTTTCTTTTTCACAATTTCACAGATAGAAGATTCATTCTTACTATAGATCTTAGCAACCTTACCATAAGATTTTTTTCTTTTCTTATTAACTTGAGAACTTTCACCTTTTCACTTAAAGGAAGTACTTGATGGCTTTTTTTTTTAATTTGGCATATTCAAATTGCCAGCATTGCTATTCTTGAGCTTTGCAGCCATTATTAAGTAAAATAAGGGTTACTTGAACACAAACACTGGGATACCATGACAGTGGATCCGATCACCGAGATGGCTACTAAGTGACTCATGGGTGGGTGGCGTAGACAGCTGGATAAAAGAATGAGTCACATCCCAGGTGGAACAGAGTGGGGCACAGCGAGTGAATCACTGTGTGATTTCATCACATTACTCAGAACAGCATGCAACTTAAAACTTATGAATTGTTTATATCTGGAATTTTTCATTTAATATTTTCATACTACCATTGACTGACTGTAACTAAAACCACGGAAAGCAAAACCGAAGATGGGGGGACTACTGTATACTAAAATGCATTAAAAAATAAAAAGTACAATGTCTGAAAGAAAACAAAAACAGCATCTTCCCCAGTATTGATCATGTATGTCATATACATATATATCAGCATGTACCAATGCAGAGTATTCTAGAATAATCTTTCTGATTTCTTATTAAGTTTTATATATATATATAATTTCTTTAAGAATTATATCTTATATATGATTATGCTGTGATATCATAACACAGCATTATTTTACTTCCAGAATAATTATATATTTAACATTAAATTATGATGAATTGGATTTACTTTATTTCTTAATATAATTAAAATGAATCTGGAGAATCATCAGTATCTTCAGAAATATTCAATCCACTCCATTCAAGATGCACAAAAATAAAATCGCTTTTCTTTGGTGATTACAAAACCAGAATAGAGAAACTTGAGCACAGAGACATTGTATTTTTTAGCAACTGTGAAGGAAGAAATTCTTATGCTTTTAATTGCATGTCACTGGACATGGTGAATGTCCGGTGTCGTCTCCACCTCATCTAGCCATCCATATCGTGGCACATTTGTTCAACATGGAGCGCTACCACTTGAGCCAGACAGAGGAAGCCAAGGGACTTCCTGCTGCACTTTCCAAACTTGGCGACACCCCAAATGAGACCTACCTCAACCCCATCCGGACCTTCCACACAGTGAGTTCCTGCATGCTAAGTAGTTTCTCATCTGAAAAGTCTCTCCTTTTATGAGGAACACTATATTTCAAAAACTTTTAATAAAAGAGCTGGAGAGAAAAAGTTTCTGCCTAATGTTAACATCAATTTCACATTTTTTAAAGAAAGTTATTTTTTTCTATCATTCATATTGCTGAGAGGTTATGAGTAAGGAGAAAAATAGGTGCCACTTAATTAATTTATAGCAAATATATATATGAGAAATGCAATAACCTGTTAAAACTCGAATATTTATAATTTTAAAAGCAGATCTTGATTAGATATTTTTTCACTGATGTTAGGCTCATAAAGAATGTGAAGTGCCATTTAAATTCAGGAAATACAAATTGGATGTCTTCATTTTCAATTTGCAAATTGTTTTCTGGATCTCTTTTCCAATTTCTCATACTTTGGCACATGTGCGAATAGCTGATTTGCCAAATCAGATACTGGGCAAAGCAGCTAATTTCATAATGAGACTTTCATGGCTAGTGACATCATTAATGCTAATTACCTATGTGCACAGAATGGCAGCAGCTGTGGAAAAGAAAACCAAAAAGGTAGCCACAGCAATCCATATTAAGAGATGAAGACATTCCTCTCCCTTCATCCACCCCTACCTCTGTCTTTGTGGTTGATCTCAACCCTTTTCCATATACTAACACATTGGAGTATGTGTCCAGCATGGTGACCAGGTTAAAAAAAAAACCATATTGTCTCATAAAAGCTTTAAGGCAATACACTCCCGCAATGGAAATCTCTCCATCAGTATTTGGCGCAGCTCGTAAGTGACCATTTTGCACATGCAGACTTATTTGAAAAACAAAAATTCAAAGTCTTTTTGGGGGGAAATTCTTCCATGTCATGTCCCCTAATTATCCTAGGATGATTTTCAATATCAGGCCATTGCTCAAGTCAAGCTACCCTTTCTTAGCTGACAGCAATTAGAAGCACAAATATCACAGGTATAAATCAAAACTACAGCTGCCCACAGCATGTGGGAATGCCTTTGGTGTCACTCAATTGAGTCACAGCATTTATCTATGCACCTACTGGAGTTAACGCTTTCCCCCAGTAAGGCTCTGGAAGATTCATTGCTATGCACACCCGAGAATAAATTTCAACATTTTGAATATCTAATAAATAGTATTTACCATAAATAGTTTTAAAGCAATTGAACAAGATAATTAAGCTACTCCCAATATAGTAATCTCAAAATTTTAGAAGCAATATACCATATACGTACTAATTAAGCTCAGGAAACCCTCTAATTTGGGGTATTTAGAGAAAGATGAGTATCGATAACACAAAGTGTACATTATAGAGCATTTCTAGGATGCAGTGGGATTGCTTCAGAGGATACATCGCAACTGAAACCAGTCTATAAATGTGTTTTAAGAACAGAGACATGGGGATTTGCCTTAATAAGCAAAGAAGAATGATTTGAAATTAGCACACCATATGATGTAAATAGATTCCTAAAATGCCTGAGCGTACTTGAAAACAAAATCCTTTTTTTAAATGTTTGAGACATACCCCTTTAGATTTTATTTCCACTCTTTGCTCTATGAAGAAAAAACAAACAATGAAGAAGTCCCTATCCAAATTACCTCCAGATCTCAAAGCAGCCAAAATTAATGAGGTTTCACCGACAAAAAATACAGTGTGAGTTTATTGAGCTCATGGCTGTCTCAAGGATAGTAACACAATGTATGAATATTAATGACTTGGCAAGAATATGGGAAATTCACAATAAAAAAATGCTTTCTGATTCATATGCTAAAATGCTGTTTTACTGTCCCTCGCACTCACAGGTCAGAATTGTGGCCTTTTAGCAGTGTCCACCAGATAAGAATAGCTATACCTATATTGATTACCTAGGCTTTACCAAGCCTTACTCCAAGACCCCAGAGATGGCGTAAAAGAAATGCAAGTCATGGTCCTTCCAATTAAAAAGCAAGAGCAAGGAATAACTACCAGGGGGAAGGAGTGTGCAGCTGCTTTATTAGGCATGCCCCAAAAGACCTTCTCAAAAACCGTGTTTATTAATGTTAATATGCAATTAAGAATGGTGATCCACATATTTATTTTAAAAATTAAACACTTAAAACTCAGATTTATTTTGCAGTATTTTACCTTGAAATGCTCTTTTCACATATTGTCCTAATTTCAACTCAGCATAACTTGGATGTGAAAATTGACTTATACAAATGAAAAGAGTGCAATTACTAAAATGTTATTTTATGAAATTTGAGAAAAGCAAATGTCTACTGTAAGACAGTGGGAGAGGAAGAAGAAGGAAGCTCTTACTTCTCAAGTTGTACCTGGACCCTTGTTGAGGCTAGTATGTTTCTGAGCAAAACATTTCAAATGGCTGCCTGCTTGGACTCTCAAGTATTGATCCTAAAAATGGAAAAATGCACTAAGATATTAATATCATGGCATTCATTCTTTTTTTTTTTAGAACACAATCACTGAGTTGCTGAAGACAATAGCAGGCATTACTGGTCTGGTGATTTCTCTGGCTTTAATCCTGATCATGACTTCTTCAACCAAGTTCATCAGACAGGTCTCCTATGAGCTGTTTTGGTACACACACCATGTTTTTATCATCTTCTTTATCAGTCTGGCTATCCATGGAGCAGGGTAAGCCCATACTATGCTAACTGTGTGATACTTTTATCTCTGTGAATCTCAAAATAATTTTAGAAATTCCTTTTGATGAAGGCACACGACATGCAGTGACTAAAGGACACATACAATATGTAAAAAATACATTCACTGTGGAAAACTGAAAATAACACTGAAACACTGAAAATAAGCTACATAGGTGGTGAAATATTATATTTATTTTTCCTGGCTGACTCTGATCATGCGTCATGACATGTTCACAAGATTCAGGAATTCTAATGAATGCTGGATGACAGTAGATGTATGTTTCATTCAGTACCTGTTTCTGCAATCCAGTTTATGTGAGATTAGGCAGGATATATATTTCTGACACCCAGATTTCACTTCCACTTAACCAAAACCATCAGCTGGGAAATGCAGTGTACGGGACAGGACAGAGTGTGAGATGAGTGGTCTGACCTGGCTGTAGATCCAGCTCTCCCACTAGTTATCAGAGTGACCGTGAGAAAGCCCTGTAAGTCCTCTGGGATTCAGTTTCCCCATCTGACCTCTAAGATTCCTTTTTGCTCAGACATCCCATAACATGCTATTCTGGCATTCAACACCTGCCTGGGACTGTTAATCTCTTCATCAGGAAGCTAGAGTAGCACCTGAAGTATTTGAGTGTGCACAATGTGTTCACCCTCAAATATAATGTTTTCAGTTCTTCAAATATTAATAAGTGGCCTTGGACTAATTAATCAACTGCTGTCTATGAACTAGCTTGTCCCTTTTAATAATTTCAGAAATAGATGCCTTTTTTCCATTTTACAATTTTCAAAGCACATTCAATATGTATGATCATTTCAACCCCAACAACATTCCTGTCAAATAGAGTAGGTGCTGTTGTCCCTGTTTCGTAGAGGGGAAAACAGATGTTCAGAGGGGTAAGTGAGGCACTCAAGGTCCCATGATGAATAAATGGCAGAGTCAGACCTAGGATGCCAGAGTTTGGACGATTCAAACCTTTCAACCTTTACTCTTAACGAGAGTGAAGTGACGAAGAACATGTCTTCACTTTGATGAAACCCTTCCTCCTCAATACCTGCAAGAAAGTGGCCGTTGACGTTGCAAACGCACTGCTTGGCTCACCAGCAGTTCTTCCTCTGCTTCCCACAGCAGCAGAACCCCCTCCTCCGCTCCTCGTTCTCCCACCATTGTGGCTGCGCAGGGCCGGATCCCTACCCCAGAGGAGGCCTGTGTTTCCTCACAGCCCGGAAGAGCAAGCACACAGGCAGGAAGAGCAAGCACACAGGCCGGAAGAGCACGCGCATAGCCCGGAAGAGCAGCAGGGCTGAGCCAGTCGCTCAGCCTGGGGGACTCTGGGTCCCCTGTGGGGCCCGAGGCAGCTCTTCAGCATTTGTCCCTCTGCAATTTGACTGCCCCCCTGCAATCTCCTTCCTTAGCCTAGATGCTCCTTCCTTCTCAGCCCCCACTTCTAGAAGCGAGCCACGCTGCCGCTGCCACTACCTGATCAAGAGCTCTCTCACCATCCTTCAGCTGGTCAGACACAGACACGTTGTCCAAGGAAGAAATACCCCTGAGGCTTGCTTTACCCCTCTGTTAATCCTTAGTTACCTACTCAGCTAACTATGCGGCCACCTGGCTAGGGGCTTTCTCTTCTCTTTCAGCTAGAAGGCCCTTCTGAACGTGGGAGTCTCACCATTCCCTTTTGTGTTTGGGGGAGGGGAGCACAGGAAATGGTGCTTCACTGCCCATGCACCAAGGATAACACCTCAAAGACTGTCAGTCCTTCCTTTCTAGCACTGATTCTGCTCCCGGTGCCAGGGTTGTTAACCCTCGTGCACATTCATGAGGCTCTTCATAGTCCTGGCGTGTCTAAAAGTCCCCTTCACAGAAATTATCCCCCTGAATGTACATTCCCTGCATGCACACCCTGGTGCCTTCTAGAAGCACAAGAGGATTTCAATGGGCAGTGTTTCATTGGAGATATTTTTAATATCCAAATAACATTTCATAAGAAGAAATTTTTTAGTCATTTTAACTTAGTTGAAAGGCTTATTTTGGGATAAGAGCCTCATTTAATCTTCTCAGCTTGAAGTATTCTACAGCTACTGTTTACAGCAAAAGTAATTTGCAAATTCTATACAAAATGCCAAGTAAAAGTAGGATTATTGGAATGTGTTAAGGCCCACTAATCTTACTATTATGGGATGGAATGGATGAAGACGTAAAAAAAGGTTTTAAAAATTTAAAAAGATACAGCATTTGTAGAATGATCTGAGGCTTCTTTTGGATAATACAGGGAATGTTTCCTGGAGCCTGAGAATGAAGGTGTTAAAGAGTCTTTCCTCTGGATCCCATTTATTATTCACCCTTCCCATGTCTGGGCATCATTTGTACATTGGAGATTTACAGATAGTTTTTCTCATCTAACTCAGAGGGGATGTTATCAAGTTTGGATGACTTCCATAAAACAGACTGGGACAAAGGCCAAGGTGTCAGTTCTAGCTGGCACCAGGCTGCTTCCTCCTTCTGTGCCCTATGATGCAAAATGGGGCATACGCCTCCACAGGGTACTCAGGACAGGAGTCTATGTGACACTAAAGTTTCTCAGTCTGTGAGTAGCATGTTTCCCAAAATAAATCAATGTATTTTATTCACAAACACCTGGGAATTGAGCAGCTCCCAGATCACATGACCTCAATGTCTTGTGCTTCACTGCCCATGCGCCAAGGGTAACCCGAGAAACGAGTACCAAAGTACCTCGTCAAAGGTCAGTTGGTTTATGTGTGGCAAATACAGAAGGATTACAGGACTCTTCATCCAGTGCTCCATTCACAAAAGCTGGCTTCCTTTTCCGCCCCTAAATTTATCAATACAATCTTGAGGACACACTTCACTGTGACCTAATTGACCCTGTCACATGCTAGGCCTGCTAGTGGTCACTAGGGGGAAAATACCATTATTCAGGGCACTTCTTTGACTTCTTCACTTGAAAACTTCTAAGCACTCAGAAACAAACCAAGAAGGGTAGAAGTTAAATAAATCTGCAAAAGAACCAAATAGTACAAAGTTAGCCAATTAGCCCAAATCAGCAATCAGGACAAGATGAAACCTAATTAAATTCAACAGTCTACAAAAGGATGTGTTCAAACAATTTCCCTTCATTATGAATTCTCTAATATAGACACTTTCAATTTAACACAGGATACCACAGAGGGGCACTTCTTTTCTGGGATCTTCAAAGTTATTTGAAGCTTCTTAAATGCCTATTTTTAAAGATTCTGAGGGAAATGAGTGACAACCCAAGTTTCAAGAAGGTGAAGTGATCTAGAGCCTACTGTACAATGTATATCTGTGTATAACAAGACTACACACAATCGGTTTAACATTTTTGTATTTTTTTTAAATAACAAGTCGAATTGTGCGAGGCCAAACCCCAGAGAGTCTCTCGCTGCACAACGTGACCTTCTGCAGAGACCACTATGCCGAATGGCAGACGGCTGCCCAGTGCCCCGTGCCTCAATTTTCTGGCAAGGAACCCTCGGTAAGAATGAACCCAGGAGCTTTTAAAAATAACTGTCCCCATAGTTATAATAGCTAGAGCTTTTATATGCTTGAAAAAAGAACAACCCATTTCACCACTAGACAAAGCCAACTCTTTAATAAGTGTACTAATGGAAAAATAGAGTTATGGATAATTTTAAAAGACATTTACTGCCAAAAGCACTCTGTTCAGCTTTGAAATGTGTTCTTCTACTTACCTTTAAATATGGGTGTCTGATGTTGTGGGAATTCATAACAGCACAACGGTGTCTCTCCCAGCATCCTCAGGCCCCCGTCTCCTTGCATAACTGCCCTCTACTCTGATAATTCATAGCATCACCTCTCGAACGTAAGGTTAAGTGACAACCAAATGAGACTTATGCCCTCTCTATAAGCTTGCCTTCTTTCTTTCTATGACTTTTGGGATTGAAAAAATATGGGTGTCAAGTGTATTTCCTTCTTGTTCTAATTAAGCTCCCCATAACTGAAATTATGTCAACATCATCCAAAAAGAGAGTTAATTAATTTGTGTAGATGATAATGTCCACGGACTTCAAAAGTAACATTTTGTGGCTATGTGGTAACCATTACATCTAGTGGAACAGGTAAATAGAAATAATAATCCTATTTGGTTTCCTCGGGCATCTTAGAACAGTGCAAACCTTTGGGACAACTGGATGATATACGAAAGAAAATAAATGAAGCCAGCAGATAAAGACTAGGAGGAGACAGGTACCCAAAAATATGTATCATAAAACATGAGAGAAACAGTTATATACACTTATATAATAGTGTATAAGTGGTGAAGATTTAGGAAATTAAGTCATCAATATATGAGGAATATAAATGATTGCACTTTTTTAAAAAAAATTCTCAAATACATTAAATTAAGCACTGGATTTTAAGGGTGAAACTACTAGGAGGAACATTTAAAATGGAGAGAACCAGAATAGATGTGCCCATTAGACTGTGGTTCTTTAATGGCCAGTATAGATTGTCTCTGTCTTAAACTCAACTCTCAGTAGCCACTATCCAGCCTGCATATTAATGAAGAACATGAATGCCTCTCTAAAATTTTCAGCTATAGCATCTCCATAAAAAAATCAATACTCCCCCACACCTCATGAATACAGACCAGGGGCTGCTCCCAGCAGCGTATGCTGACATTAATTATCGTTAAGAGGCGGGGGGAATCTTACCCATTTCCCTGCTAACTCTCCCCTGCTGCACCTCTTTGCACACCCAAACTCACGGTGTCACTCTCTCCCATTATTTTTAATGGATCCTGATTCAAAGCGTGTGTGGGCTGTGCAATTACTGCTTGGCTGAACTGTACGATACTCTTTCTGATGTCTTATAGACACTGAATCCAAAAGGCATCCCAAGGACAAGGAAGAGTTCCTGAGCTTCACCGCACCACACCTTCCTGGTCTTTGCAAGGCTCCATTTCTACTTCTTTGCTTCTCTTTACTTGGTGCATTTTTGTGGTGCTTTTATTCAACGAACATTTATCAATTCACCTTCAGTGGTGCCCCACTCCCGGTATTGGACAGAGAATGCTTTGTACGTCACCTTGTATAAACTGGCCTGATCAAAGGAACTGACTGTGCCTTGCATTCCCCTCACCCCCACTTGTCTCCTCCCTTCTACCCCAAACTCACAGACACCTCCGAGACTCCAGATTCCAGGATTGCTCATGCAATCAGTCTCAAAAGATGCCTGGTCCTCCTTAGCCAAATAAGTACCTTCTTCATTTAACTGCAACATCAACAAATAATAATCGTAAAGCTGACACCATTTTCATTACCAAGGAATGACGGTAGTGGTAAAGAGGAAAGCTTTAACTGAGGTAATGTCAATTCAGTGAACTTTTGCCGAGTGGCTGTTACACGCTTGGCATTGCACTGGACGCAGGATTCAGAGACGTGAGTCCTACCCCAGGAGATCTTATTGTCTAAAAAAAGAGGCAATTCATAAACACACACATAAAATAAAATCAAAGCCAGCATGTTCTTATTTTCTGGTAGGAATGAAAAACCAGGAGTGAAAGTGGAGGAAACAAGTTTCATTACTGCTGCTTTTAAATCAACATAGTTTTATTTCTGTCATAAAATACTCACAGTCGTCTGGCTTTTTGAGTATTTTGGAAGAAGAAAGAAATACAGCTAAGAATCCAAAGAGTATTTTAGCATTAAAGAAACTTAGATACTAAATAGTTCTGCTCCTTTATTTAATAGATGTGGAAATTGAGGTCCCAAGGAGCCCCAGTTTCTTTCCTCTGGTCACAAAGGGCAATCCCAGCAAAGCCACATCGCGAAACCGGAGCCTCTAACTCTGCAGCCGTGACCTTTCTTCCCTACACCTTATGACATTCGCTCTGAATCTCTGACCTTCCCCCAATGCCCGTTTTGTTAGCTCCCTGCTGCTTTCCACAAGCACATATCCCCAACATTATATTCATCTCTGTGAATAAAGCCAAAGCATTTAAGAGCTTGGGATGAAGCTAAATCATTTTCTTCAGCTATTTCCAACTTTACAAAACAGAAAGGTTGAACATCATAAAACCCAAGGAGTAAAGGCAGAGTAAGGGATGGTAGTCCCAAGACCAGAACCCAGGTCTTCAAAGACTCAGTTCGAGATCCACTTTGCCACATGCCCCTCCTGCTGTGAGGACAGGCCTCCTGGTCTTGACTCGCTCTCGTCTATCCTGGTC